TTGGAATTTGAGGGACAGAATGCTAGAGAAGAAAGAAGCTATACTGAGAAGGCACTCCAGAAATCCATATAGGAGTACTTTTAGGTCTTTGGCCTAATGTTAAGCAGCACATGCATAGAGGGAGACTGAGAGACCTTCACTGAAAAGCTACTGGGGAGCTGTGAACTGAGAAGAGGTTCCAGAGGTTTCACAGTAATGGGAGTGGTTTGAATTCCAACCAGCCCGAGTGGAGAGACATTGAACACTACATTCAACTGAGATCGCCCTAGTAGCAAGACTGTTCTATAATCTGCTCTAACAAAACTTACAAACAAGTGCCATAGGGATTTTGGCTACCAGAACAAAAGTTCAACAACCTTCAAAGGAATATAGCAAAATCCAGATTGAACAAAGTATCATGTACAGTGTTTAGCATAAAATAAGAAATTGCTAAACAGAAAAAAAGCAGTCAACAGAAACACCTAGATATGACAGAGATGTTGAAATTAACAGTTAAATATTTTAAAACAGGTGTAATAGGGGCGCCTGGGTGGCTCAGTCGGTTAAGCATCCAACTTCGGCTCAGGTCATGATTTCACGGTCCATGAGTTCGAGCCCCGCATCGGGCTCTGTGCTGACAGCTCAGAGCCTGGAGCCTGCTTCGGATTCTGTGTCTCCCTCTCTCTGACCCTCCCCCGTTCATGCTCTGTCTCTGTCTCAAAAATAAATAAACATTAAAAAAAAATTTTAAACAGGTGTAATAAATATTTTTAAAAGTTAAAATAAAATATGGGCATAATGAGTGAATAGATAGGAAATCACATTAGAGAAATTAGCACTTGAACCAAATGAAATCCTACAGTAGAAAAACATAATATTTGAAATGAGAAGTTACTTGACAGGCTTAATAGCAAAATAGACAATTTGAAAGATTGGTGAACTTGAATATAGGATTATAGATATTACCCAAAATGAAGTGATGAGAAAAAAAAAATAGCCTCAACCTGTAGGAGTCAGTATTCTTCAACCTAACACATGTATATCAGAGTCCCAGAAAGAAAAGAGATTGGGGCAAAATATGTATATATTTGAAGAAATAACAGCAGAAAAATTTCCAAATTTGATGAAAAGTATCAGTCTGCTGATCCATGGCACTCACTGAACCCAAGGAGGATAACCAATGAAATTATACCTAGACACATTATTACCAATTTGGTGAAAAACGAAGATAAAGAGAAAATCTTAAAAGCCATCAGAGAAGGGCACCCGGGTGGCTCAGTCAGTTGGGTGTCCAACTCTTGATTTCAGCTCAGGCCATGATGGGTCATGGGATCAAGCCACGTGTTGGGAACTCTCTCTCTCTCTCTCTGTCCCTCTCTCTCTCTCTCTGCCTCTCCCCTGCTTGTCTCCCCATGTGGACTCTATCAAAAAAAAATTTTTTTAATTTTTAAAAATTAAAAAAAAAAAGGCAATCAGAGAAAGACTTTGAAGGGAATAGTGGTGAGAACAACTCCTGACTTTTCATCAGAAGCAACATAAGCCAGAAGACAAAACATCTTTAAGGGATGAAAGAAAAAACTATCCAACATGAATTCTACTTTAGCAAAAATGTCTTTAAAAATGAAGATGGGGGCACCTGGTGGCTCAGTCGGTTAAGCGTCCAACTCTTGATTTCAGCTCAGGTCATAATCTCATGGTTCATGAGATCGAGCCCATGTCGGCTCTGCACTGACATCATGGAGCCTGCTTGGGATTCTCTCTCTCCCTCTCTCTGTCTCTGCCCCTTCCCCACTCTTGCACATGTACTCTTTCTCAAAATAAATAAACATTAAAAAAAATAAAAATGAAGATGAAATAAATTCATTTTCAGATAGACAAAAGCTCATGGAATGAATCATTAGCAGCCCTGCACCACAAAAAATGTTAAAGTTGTTTGGATTGAAAGCAAATGATAACAGATGGAAACTAAGATCCATACATAAGAATAAAGCACATTAGAATATGTATGCAGATATGAGACTTTTTTCCTCATTTCTTAATATCTCTAAAAGACTGTTTAAAGCAAAAATAATGGCAGTGTATTGTGAGGTTTATATATAGAAGTAAAATTAAAAAGTATACGTAGAAGTAAGACATAATAGCAATAATACAAAGGATGGAACTGTGGTAAATGAATAAAAATGTATTTTAAGATTCTTACATTATATGTGAAGTGGTATAATATTTGTGGTAGATTGTGATAAATTAATGTTATATGTTCACTAGATAAGTCACTGAAGAGGGAAGTATAACTAAAAAACCAGTGATAAGAATGACATGGATTATTAGAAATACACAATTCAAGGCTCAGCTGGCTAAGCATTCAACTTCAGCTCAGGTCATGATCTCATGGTTCGTGGGTTCGAGCCCCGCATCGAAATGTGCTGATAGCTCAGAGGCTGGAGCCTGCTTCATATTCTGTGTCTTCCTCTCTCTCTGTCCTGCCCCCACTCATTCTCTCTCTCTCTCTCTCTCTTTCTCTCTCTCTCAAAACATGAATAAACATTTAAAAAAATTCAAAGAAATACACGATTCAAGGCACCTGGCTGGCTGGGTTAGTGGAGTGTAACTCTTTATTTAAAAAACAATTTTTTTTTTAACATTTATTTATTTTTGAGACAGAGAGAGAGCATGAACAGGGGAGGGTCAGAGAAAGAGGGAGACACAGAATCTGAAACAAGCTCCAGGCTCTGAGTTGTCAGCACGGAGCCCGACGCGGGGCTCGAACCCACGGACCGCGAGATCATGACCTGAGCCGAAGTCGGACGCTTAACCGACTGAGCCACCCAGGCACCCCGAGTGTGACTCTTGATCTCAGGGTTATGGGTTTGAGCTCCACGTTGAATGTAAAGATTACTTAAAAGTGAAATAAAATCTTTAAAAAAAGAAATACACAATTCCAGAGAATGCAAGAAAGGAGAAAAAACAAAAAGCATTTGGGACAAATGGGAAATAAGTAAGATTATAGATATTAATCCAGCTATAATCAACAATTGCATTAAATGTAAGTAAACACTCCAGTAAAACGCATAGATTGTTAGGCTGTGTATAAAAGCAAGACCTATATCCTATTTAGATATAAGGTGGCACAAATACACTCTCTGAACTGAAAGAACTCAGGGGAAATAGAATCTATGTATGAGTTTTTCTGGAAAAATCTATTTGATAACCAATAAAGAAGTTAATCAAAAGAAACAATTCAGGAATGGAGAAGCTCTAATGAAAAGACTGGTGATGAGTGGAATCCATTTAGAATGACTATTGGGCTTATTAGGTTACTGAATAGAATGTAAATAATATAAACCTTTAGAGCATAGAAACACCACAATGTTTCCCGGACACTTATTATGTGCCAGGCTCTTTGTAAAAACGCATTTAAGCTTCTAACATATGAAGTAGGTACTGTTTTCCTTATTTTACAGGTGAGGAAAATGGAGGCTTATAGAGGTTAAGTAACTTGCCTAATGTCACACAGCCAGCAAGGAATGGAGCCAGGACTGGAGCCTAGGTTTTCTGGCTACAGAGCCCAGGCTTCTGTTAACCACTGTGCTATGCTGTCTTCCTAAATTAAAATAATAGAGAAGTAACAAAAAGTAGAGGGCGGGGGAGGAAAGATGGAAGGAAATGTGAGACACCAGTATCCTCACCTTTTATAGTTGTGAGTTAGTACTTCTTAGATTTAGTTAAGGGGCACCTGGGTGGCTCAGTTGGTTAAGCATCCGACTCTTGATTTCAACTCAGGTCATGATCTCATGGTTCGTGTGACTGAGCCCCACATCAGGTTCTGCGCTGATAGCATGAAGCCTGCTTGGGATTCTGTCTCTCTCTGCCCCTCCTGTGCTCTCACACATGTGAAATAAATAAATAAACAAACAAACAAACAAACAAACAAACAAACAAACTTTAAAAAATAAAATTAGCATATACAATCCAATTTTTCAAAGTACATACGTCTATCTAGCTGTCCATTCAGCCAGCCAGCATGTAATCTGAATATATACTACAAAGCTAACTGGAATGGTATTCTCTTAATGATAATGATGGTTATTTTTAGGTGGTAGATTTGGAGTGGTTTCTTTAAGAAATAATGTTAAAAGATAGTGTTTGTATTTTTTGAGAATGAGTGATAGTACATAGGGATTTGAAATTTTCCATTAAAAAGAAAAATCTAAAAACTAAAGAGAAAATTGAGCCCTGTCACCACCATTGCTTAAAATCACCCATTAGCAGTTTCCCATAATTTCTAAGATAAAGTACAGGATCCTTAATAAGATGCGTCAGACCTGTGATCTGACCCTTACCTGTCTCTACAGCCTTTTTTCCCTAGCGATTTCTGGGTTCTAGACATATGAGCTTTTTTTCTCTTTGTATCCTATTCCTCCTGCTTAGAACAATTCTTACTCCATTTTTTTTTCCTTCTTTTTTTCCCCATTATATTACATCTCAAATATCACTTCTTTGGGGAGACTTTCCTTGATCTTAACCTGGTCTAGGTCAGAGCCATGATACATTCTCATTGCATCCTGGACTTTTCTTCCAAATGCTTGTCACACTTAAAATCATACATTAGGTTGTGTGGTTGTTAAATATCTGTTTCATTAGATTATAAGGGTAGGGACTGTGTCTGTTTATTCCAGAACCTAGAACAGTAGTTGGCAAATAATATGTATTCAATATACATTTAATGAACATTTAACAAAGTGCTTATAAGATCACATGTTCTCCCTATAATCCCATGAGGTAGTTCTTATAGTCCCCACCTTTCACCTCCTTTAGGGGTGGTCTGCCTCATAAGATATCATTTGAACAAAGATTCCAAGGCTGGAAAGTCTTTGTGCTATATACCAGGCCACCTTCCTTTCATGCTGCCTTAGCTCAAAATGTATGAACTTTATTCAGGAATTAGTCTCTAACTTTGGCCTCAGACATGCAGGTTCTGCCCTGGTTGGGTTTATTTTTTTCTTCCCTTTCCTTCCTCCCAGGTGGACTGACCCAGGACCTGAAAGCTGCCTCCAGCTGCTTTCTGATGGCGTGTGAGAAGCCTGGAAGGAAGTCTGTGGAGGCATGTCACAACGTTGGTCTCTTGGCACATGATGGACAGGTCAATGAAGATGGCCAGCCTGATCTGGAGAAGGCCAGAGACTACTACACAAGGGCCTGTGAAGGCAGCTATGCCTCCAGCTGCTTCAATCTCAGTGCCATGTTCCTGCAGGGTGCCCCTGGCTTTCCCAAGGACATGGGCCTGGCATGTAAATACTCAATGAAAGCCTGTGACTTGGGCCATGTCTGGGCCTGTGCCAATGCCAGCCGCATGTACAGGCTGGGGGATGGTGTAGATAAAGATGAGGCAAAGGCCGAGGTGCTAAAAAACCGGGCCCGGCAGCTGCACAAAGAACAGCAGAAAAATGTCCAGCCTTTGACATTTGGGTAGTGTGGCCCATGCTTCTAAGTAACACACAGCTTGAGGCTGGCACCTCTTATGTCTTACATAGCCCTTGAAAGTCAACCTGCTGGAGCAGGAAGACTTGGGACTTAATGTCAGTAGCTCTGGTTACATAGACCCATTACCCCAGAGTGTCACCTACTAGGTTGTAGCCTGAAATGTTTATTTCAGTCAGTATTCTTTCATCTGTTGTGTTCTGTGAAGACACACACATTTATGGGATTTTATGTCTCAGAGTCTGTGCTCTGTGAAAAAAGGCAAACTAGAGAGCAGTAGAGACTGGGCGGGGGGTGGAGAGGGGAGACAAAGAGCAGGAAGACTCAGCAGCCACAGTGCCTGAAGGAATCAGACCTTATTATTATCATTATTATTATTTTAGTTGGGAGGGCTTGAAAATCAGAGTCTTGACTTACATAATAGAGGGCTTAAGGAGCTAAGAACAGTTAAATAGTCACGACTTCCACCCTCTGACTTATGTAATCATTGGTGTGGGCTTCCTTTTTGCCTTTAGAGTCAGAGCTTCAATAAATTCTTAGAGATTGGGAGGGATGTGCAGCATAAAAGTTAAAGGTCATTATGCTTCAGGATTGCCAAAGAGGATGAAATATAAGCTGTGCTTTAGCGGAGGCATCCACAGTTGAAAATTAGCATCCCCAGTCCACTCACCTGGCATTGCTCATCATGCTGAAGGACAGATTATTCCCGAGGCAACTTCACCTAGGGATTTGTAAGCAAAGGTTTTGTGACACATTTTGTCCCTCAGAACTGGATCTTTTTAACTGTCTCTGTGAATAAACTATTGTGATTGATTAGTAGTTTGTGTTACTAGTTTCTCTCCAGATTCTGGGTAGGGTAGAGATGTTCTTTGTGGTGGTTGTGCTTTTTCTTTTAAGGTAAACCTTTGCCTTTTCTATTATCTTCCTAACCCGTCACTAGGGGGCAAGCTTGTCGTTTTCCTGCAATAACAGGACTGGTCTGTCACCACCTACTGTTTCTGAGCTTCCAGTTTTGCAGCTGTTCTACAAGGAAGGCATGCAATGTAGATGAAGGTTTGTAAGCTCGGCCTGCCAGTTTCTCAAGGTGATGGAGGAAAGGGACTTTCCCAGGAGCAGATAAGTTTTAAAAAGTGAGTTTATTTTTAAAATGTGAAGTAGTTTTTGTTTGGTTTAAAATAAACTCTGTAAGCCAACAAGCATATGAAAAGATGCTCGACATCGCTAATCATTAGGGAAATGCAAATCAAAACCGGAATGAGATAATTATCCCACACTTGTCAGGACGGCTGTTCTATTAAAAAAAGGGGGGTGCTCCCTGTGTGGCTCAGTCGGTTGAGTGTCCGACTTCGGCTCAGGTCATGATCTCACGGTCTGTGAGTTCGAGCCCTACATTGGGCTCTGTGCTGACAGCTCAGAGCCTGGAGCCTGCTTCGGATTCTGTGTCTCCCTCTCTTTCTGCCCCTCCCCCACTCATGCTCTATCTCTCTCTCTTTGTCAAAAATAAATATTAAAAAATAATAATAAAAAAGACAAACATTTTCAAGGATATGGAGAAATTGGAACCCTTACACATTGTTGGTGGGAATGTAAAATGATATAGCCACTTCAGAAAACAATATAGTGTGGGGGAGAAAACAATATAGTGGTTCCTCAAAAAATTAAACATAGAATGGCCATATCATCTAACAGTTCCATTTCTGGGTGCACCTATGTTCATAGCAACATTTACAGTTGCCACAAAGCAGAAGCAAACTCAGATGTCTATCAGTGAGTGAGTGGATACACAAAATGTGGTGTATACATACAATGGAATATCACTCAGCCTTAAAAGGAAGGAAAATCTGACCCATGCTACATGGATGAACCTAAAAGACAGGCTACATGAAATAGCCATCACAAAAAGACATACTGTGTAATTTCATTTACATGAGGTATCTAGATCTACTCAGAGAGAGAGTAGAATGGTGGTTGGCACAGGCTGGGGGAAGGGGAAAATGGGAAGTTATTTAATGGTTATAGAGTTTGAATTTTGCAAGACGAAATAGTTCTGGAGATTACTTGCACAAAAATGCGAAGTAGTTAACACTACTGAACTATACATTTAAAAATGATTAAGATGGTAAATTTCATGTGCATTTACCACAATAAAAAAATGTAAACATTTAATTTTTTTTAATGCAAGGTTTGAAGTTTTCGGTTATAAAAGCGGTATGTTTTCATGAAATGCATTTTGGAACATGGCAGAGGAAACAATTACCCATCACTATCCTTTACAACCTACTAGCATTCTTTGGCCCAATAGTGTTGTCATTTAATCACTTTTTAAAGAATTACATCTTTCCAATTAAATTATTGGTATTGTAATTTTGAAGAGTTAATTTGATTTTTGGTAGCAGATGTACTGGGTTATTTTTTTATGGACCAGTTCCTGCCTGGGACCTAAGGTGCCTGCCTTCCTTGGATCACATAGTAAGACGGGGCTGAAAGCAAGAGAGTAAGCATTAACAGTTTCAAAATGTATACTTCACAAAAGTTATCAAAATGTAAAGAGTAAGAATTTACTGCCCAGAAAGGTCCCAAGGCCATTTCATACCCAAGTCACTCTGGGAAGGAATGGATTGATAAAAGCCAGCATGGTTGAGTTTCTCACTTTTGTGCAACGTTTGAGGCAAGGTTTGAAAATGGGTTTCCAGACTCTGTTCACAGCAAGCTACTCATTACCGTGTCCTCTGGCTAGCAGGCATTCGAATCATCATTAGCAACTATTTCTAATGTGTTTCCTCTGTGCCAGGCTTGGCCTGGATAGCCTAATGAAGAAGTTTCCTAATTGACTAGTGGTTTGTGTTTTCACTAAAATTTCATAGTGCAGTGCTCAGTGTTGTGAGAAAGGGAAGCAAGAGTCTCAGAGACAGAGGGCCTAGAGGTTTGGGTTTTATCTTGTTGGTCATGCAGAGTCACTGAAGGGTTTTGAGCAGGAAATTAGATCACCCTACTGTGGAAAACGAATTGGAGAGCAATGTGGGGGTAGAAGGGGGTGGAATCAAGCCTGGGGTTAAAAAAGAACCCAAATTTCTAGCCTGAGTACCTGGGTGAATGGGGGAGGGGGAGGGGTCCCCCTCATATTGATGTGGAGTGAAATGAGGAGGGGGACAAAAAACTTCTTAGAGCCGTTCAGTAAATTTTTTTTTTAATTTAGAAATAAATTGCATTTTAATTTCTTAAAGTTTTACACAGTTGCCTGAAAAAATTTTGTGAGAGGCAACATGGTAGAGAGAAAATGCCTAGATTTCAGATCCTACAGATGTGGGCAACTCTGGGTTAGTCAAAGGCATACTAATAACAAAGAATGAGAAGATATAAATCAATAAAATAATTTTGTATTTTTAAAAAACATCAAATAACCACTTGATGTGAAAAAAAGGTAAACATTTTTGGCTTTCTGATACTGATTTTGCAGTTTAGATCTCTTATTTTAAATTTATTATTAGGGTTGGGGAGGGGAGGTACCAAACTCTTTCCAGGTCTTAGGTCTAAAGGTCTTCACCTGGATTCTGATCTGGGTTTTGCCTTTATTGGCTGTGTGACCTTGGACAAGTTATCTGACCTATGGGTCTTGGTTTTGTTACCTATAACATGGGGATAAAAGATTTTTATGGGACCATATTTTATAATTAGGTCATTGTTTTCTCTCCATGTGTCAGTGTTAACTTGTGAAGGTGTCTAACTTTTAAGACAGTCTTCCTTTGCTGCCATTCTTTTAATATCCAGGGAGCTGATGGTGAGGCTCTCTAGAGGTATTCAGGGCCTAAAACAGCTGCTCTACAGGCCTGGAGAAGGGGTGGGGGTGGGCCTGCTCCTGTACAGCTCGCGTCGCCACACTCCTTCCTCCTCTCTCCTTTTCTCCTCCTCCTCCTCTTGCTCCTCCTCTTGCTCTTCCTCTTCCTCCTCCTCCTCCTCCTCCTCCTTCCCTGTGGCCCCAGTGGAGACAGAGTCACTGAGAAGACTTGCACCTGCTGGGGCCTGGAGTGGAAACTATTCCCAGCTGGTGCCCCTCCCCAGGCTTAAGTCGAGAAGATTGCATAGTTTATAACCTTAAGTCCCTGTCTGAAGAGGAAAGGCCAAAATTCTTTGCCTAACATATAGTCTCCCCGCCCCCATGATACAGTCCCTCCTTGCCTCCATATTTAGCTCCATCTTCCTAACTTGGGAGCTGCTTGTAGTCTCTGCACCACTGCTAAAAAAAAAAAAAAAAATTAACAACAAAACACCCTGGCTGTTTCTTACTGCCATGCATTTATGATGCTGGCTCCTCTCTCTGGAATGTTCCTTTATCTTTTACTTTTTTATTTTTATTTATTTTGTCACCCCTCCCAAGTCCAGATCCCCACCCCTGATTCTCTCCCCTACGCCAGCACCAGAGTGCGAGGGCCCCTGCTTCCTTCTGCCTTTTAAGTAGAATGCTCTTCATCTTTTAACACTTTGGAAGCATACCCTTCATCACCCAGGCTGGGTAGAGGCTTTTTCTGCCCCAAATTTCATCCATCACAGCGCTGATCACACTGTATTATCATCTGTGTGTTGATGGTCTCCACTTTCCACAGGACTATGAGCTCCTGGAGAATAGGGACTTGATTGGCTTCTTCTGTATCCTTAGTGCCCAGGATGAGGCCGGGAACATGCTAGACCATCAGTGGCTGCTTGCTGAGATGAACAGCATAGCGTGGCACCTTAGCAGCCTCCAACCACCCCAGGACAAATCAGGCCCAGACTCATATTCATGTCTAGGGACCAGTGTAAGCCACAGGGGTATATTCTTTTTGAAACTGCTCATCAAGAAAAGTTCCTGTCTAAGCCAGAGCTGACACATGATGGATCAATACTCTTTCTTGGGCTGTGTTCAGGAAGGGTCTTTTTAAAAAAGGTTTTAAGATAATGGAGGAAAAGGACCCAACAGAGTGCTACCCTGGCACCCTAAAGTACATGCTCAAAAAC